TTTTTTTGGTTTAAAAATATAATAACACATCTTCAGTAATTCATGTCATAAAATAATTTTCCTTTTGGGGGTGGTGCTGGGGATGCAACTTTTTTTGGGGGGTGTCTTGGTTTATGCTCCCTGCCCTTGACCCCTTTAGTCCCTTGCTCTGCCCCCATCCCAGCTCTGTGGTGGGAGGGGGCTCTGGTCTTTTCTAAAGTGGGTGGTTTGTCTTTTAGTCTTTCCCTTTGGTATGTGCGTGTGTGTTTGCGTGTGCCGCGTGTGTGGCATGCGTGTGAGTGTGTGTGCGTGTGAACAGCTTCAGGTTCTGCTGGTTTTGCTGTGAGCTGCAGTGTTCTGTGGGTCTGTGGTATCTGACACTGTGGACATTAATGTACTTCTTGGACATTTTAATAAAATTTTTTAACAGTTCAACCTGCCTGTCACCTCCTGGGACCTTTCTTCATTTATTCACTCAGCAAGTACTTACTGAGCAACTGTTATGAGCCATGTACTGTGCTGGGAGCTAGGGAGACAACGGTGAACAAGACAGACATGGCCTCTGGGAGTTAGTCAAGGAAGGCTTCCTAGAGGAGGTGAATGGAATCTAAAGGAGGAATAATGTTTACTAGATGAGAAGAGGAAGAAAGGAAGACAATTTCAGGCAGAGGGAAGAGCAAAGGCAAACATCCTCTTGCAGAAAGGCCATCGGTTATTTGAGAAACAGTAAGGAATCTACAGTGGCTGGAGCAGAGTTGTAGAGGTAGATAGTGGAAGGAAATGGGGTCAGAGATGAAGAAGATGGACAACTCGGGACCATAGAGGCTATAGTGAGGAGTTTAGGTTTTATTTAAAAAGCAATAGTAGCAGGGGCGCCTGGATGGTTAAGCGTCTGCCTTTGGCTTGGGTCATGATCTTGGGGTCTTGGAATGGAGCCCCACATTGGGCTCCTTGCTTGGGGTGGAGGGGGGAGCCTGCTTCTCCCTCTGCCTGCTGCTCTCCCTGCTTGTGCTCTCTCTGTCTGTCAAATAAATAAATTAAATATTTTTTTAAAAAAAGATTGAAAAGAAAAAAACAACAGTGGCAAAAACAAAACAAAACAAAAAGCAAAGCAAAACAAAAAACAAAGTCAAAAGGCAAATGCCAAACTTGGGAAATTTTTCAAATCAGAGATAGAGGACTTGTCTTAATACATAAAGAGCTCCTACAAACTAATGGGGAAAAAAACCCCTAATAATCCAATAGCCAAATAGGCAAAGTATATGAATAAAATGTTGACAGAAAAGAAAATACAGATGCTCTTAAACTACAACGTATACTCAACAGAATAATACACATTTTGCAAGGACACCAGGATGAACAAAGAGCATATTTATTTTTTTAAAAAGATTTTATTTATTCATTTGACAGTGAGAGACACAGTGAGAAAGGGAACACAAGCAGGGGGAGTGGAAGAGGGAGAGGCAGGCTTCCCGCCAGGCAGGGGGCCCGATGCAGGGCTTGATCCCAGGACTCTGGGATTATGACCCGAGCTAAAGGCAGACGCTTAATGACTGAGCCACCCAGGCGCCCCAAGAAGAGCATATTTAAAAAGAGAATCAAATCTAACAAGAGAGGGGACTTGCATTGATCAACAATGACAACACACTCAAACTGTGAATGATTTATGACTTCCTCACCCACCTGCACCTAAGGTCATTGTGGGGGATGTTTGCTCAGGCTCACACATAATAAGAGAATTGCACGTGACAACCACAATAAGAATTTTTTTTAACCTATCAAGTTGGCTAAAGTAAAAAGTGTTAACACACGATGCTGATTAGGATGTGTGGAAAGAGGCAGGTACATCTATTACTGGTGGGGTCTATATTGTCCCCGCCTCTAAGAAGAGCTGGAGAGCGCTGTCAAAATGGCAAGTTTCACTCCTTGATTAAACAACTTCTAATGTCATCTCCCAATTATGCTAGAATTTGTGTGAGGTGAGGCGGGTACTTATTAGTAACAGCAATATAGGGAAATCTAAACATCCGCCATTAGGATACAGGCTACCAAATTATGGCGCATCCAAACAATGAATGCTCCAGCCGACCTTCAAAAGAATGTGAGGGTGGGGGATCTTGATTTGGCGATTGAAACTATCTCCAAAATAAAATACTAAGTAAAAGGAGAGTGACTTGAAAAGTATACATGGCACACGGATGTTCATAGCAGCATTAGTCACAATCACCGAAAAGGTGGAAAAACCCAAATGTCCATTAACTGATGAATGAATAAAGAGAACAGGGCATATACATGACACAGGATATTATTCAGCCATAAAAAGGAATGAAGTCTTGATAAACATCACAACATGAGCCTCAGAAACATTATGCTGAGTGAAAGAAGCCAGACACAAAAGGACACATAAGATTCCATTTTTATTTTTATTTTTTATTTAGAGTGAGAGCAAGTGGGGGTGGAGGGGCAGAGGGAGAAAGAGAGAATCTCAAGCAGGCTCCACCCCCAGCTTGGAGCCAGTGCAGGGTTCCTTACCACCACCCGAAAATACAATCAGAGCAGAGAATCAAGAGTCAAACAAAACAAAACAAACAAAAACCAAAAAATCCTAAAGAGTGAGCCACCCAGGTGTCCCTATATGATTCTATTTATGTGAATCAAGAATAGGTAAAACTAGAGAGACAGAAAGTAGATAAGCAACTGCCAGGGCAGAGGGGAGAGGGAAGGAAAGAATGGGGGTGAGTTTGTTTAATGGGTATGGTGTTTCCTTTGGGGATGATAAAAATGTCTTGGAACTAGATAGATATTCTCCAACAGTGTGAATTGTGTAAATGCCATTTGTGTAAAAATGGGGGAAAATACATATGCATGTTTGCTTGAATGAACACAAAACATCTCTGGAAGGGCTTGTAAGAAAATTTGGATGTGTCAGGACAGTGAACTGGGAGGTGTACGATGGGAAAGAGCGATTTTTCGGAATATCTGGCTTCAGGAATGTTTCTATCCGGGTTGCCATCCCTTAGCTCTCCTTCAGGTGGGCCCTGGAGACCTCCACTCCAACAATGCAGCAACTCCAGCAGAACTAAGGTTCCGGTGGCCTAACTGGTTCACCAAAATCCCAGGGACTCAGTGGCACGGTCCCCCTCCCTCCCTCTCCCTCCCTGAACCAATCAGGTTTTCCCAAGGAGGTGTGGCCAGCACTAGAAGCGGGTGGTGTCAGCCCCTCCGACTCTCATTGTACCTGCGGTGGTTAGAAAGTTACATATTCACAGGAAAACTGGAAAACTGGAACCACGGAAGGGAGAAAAGATGCCAGCGGGGAAAAGGCGGGATTCTAGAAATCCCATGCCTCATGTCTGGAAATATGTCCCCTACCATTCCCCTAATCAAGGAAGCTAAGGCCCAGCTGGAGCCCAAGGCCGTCTAACCCAGGGGCTGGGCGCTGCCTTCAGATGAGTGGTTTGAGTCTCTGGAAGTTGTCACGTCTGGTATTGAAGGATGAGAGGTAAGTTAACATCGACTATCTCACGTCTACAGCCTAATCACTTTTACACTTTTTCCTCTTCTCCCTTTGCTTGTATCCCAGAAACTTACAATGTTTCTCCGTCCATGATCCCCCCACCCCTACTCCACCTCTGCACCAGGGAAATTTTGCAATCTCTCTGCCTTCCTGGTGAAGAACTTTCCATCCAGTTTTGCACACTTTGTGCCTGGGGGATTGAGAGGGACCACTTGGTGTGTCATCAACCCAATCAGGCCAGGGCTGAAAGGGGCTGGACACATGAGGGGAGGGGATGATTTAAGGAAGAGAGTGAAGGCAGAATGAGGGAAGGCAGAGGGGGAGACATTGGGGAGTGAGGATGGTCCTGAGGAACGAGGGGGATGCCTCCCAACCAAATCATCACCACACACACCCCCAGCTGGGAAACATTTTGTCCATCAAAGTGCATTTATGAAGCAATTACCCACCAGCTGTTCCATTTTCTCATTCATTCAAAAACAAACAAACAAACAAACAAACACTTTTTTAATTGAGCCCCTGCTGTATGCTTTGCACTCACTGGGATCTCAGAACAGCTCTGGTACAGAGGAGGAAAACAGGCTTGTCACTTGGTCACAGAGGCAGGATTCGAACCCGAGCCCACCGGATTCCCAAACTCACAGATGGGTTTCCTCAAGATGGATGTGACAATAAGGTGGTGGGGGAGGGGGTCCAGGAAGGCCCTCCGTGCTACTCCAGGGAACACCTTGGAGCTGAGGTCTGCCATGGCTGGGGTGGCTTTGTTCATGGACCGTCTCTCCTGAGTTGGCTCTCAACACTGGGAGCGGGAGGGGTGTCTGGCTAACTTCTTAGCACAAATTGCCCTTTAGAACCTGGAGCTCACTGTGGATTTTGAAGCTTAAAAACATTCCATCTCTCCTGGATCTCTAAGGAGTGGAATGTGGGGGCCGGGGGAAGTTAGAGGAGAGAGGAGCTCTGTGAGAATGGAGCTGTAGTCTCAGAAGGGAAGGGGGGAGCCCAGTGCTTGCACGGGATAAAGGGCCAGGCCTGCCAGAGTCATTTGGCTCATCTGTATGGCAGCAATGCCAACACCTGGGGGTTGCAAGGGTGTCTCGTGCACTGTTGTCTGGGATAGAGTTAGCGTGCAAACGGAGGGTGTCCAGCAGCTCCAGAAGTCCAGCCATACCTAGGGATGCTGCCCGGGGGCCTGGGCCTATCTGGTTAAGGGCAGACATGAAGCCCTAAGGGGTGCAGTTCCGACCCTCAGTAAGAAGTTCCTGAGAGCTGGAGTGGATTGTCATGGGAATTACGCTGACAGTCTCTATGGCGATAGTTTGGTGGGGCGGGGCCCTGCTGACCTGGGAAAGCCTAGAGGGAAAGGTGTTCTGTGACCTCAGACACCAGAGTTTGGTCTCCATGGGAACAGCTATGGGGTTTCAGCAGCTTGGAGGCAGAGTTTGGAGAGTGGCAGGAGCTGGGGTGCACTGGGGCAGCCTGTTCCCATGGTGAACTCCCATGAGAGCTGGAGAACTGAATGTTGGGTCACTCTCAGGACAGTTGGGGGAGGAAATGGTTTTCAGGGCTGTTGGTAAGAATGGGGACATTCAGAAGTAGAGTTGTAGCTCTCTGGAATCCCGGAGGTGAGATGGGAAACGTGTGGTATCCATGGTTACAGCTGGAGGAGGCAGGCACTAGCTCCATGGGTGTGACTGATGAGGGAAGGGCTGTATGACTAGGTTACAGGTAGAAGTTGGGCTGGTCACCTTGGTAACAATGGGAAGTGGGACAGCTCGTCTCCATAGTGAGTGACATGGATCCTATGGATCCCTGGGCCCAGGGGATGGTCTCTTTGTTGACAGTTGGGAAAGAGGCCATCCATTAGATGGGAGTGGGTTTTCTCCCTCCAAAGAGATACCTGAGGGCTGGGGCACGGCCACCAGTCATGCGAGCCGGCTGGGGCATATCATTCTGTTTTAGTGGTGACAGACAAGGTTTGTCTCCCCTGAAACTGGAAGGGTGGGGGTGTTCAGGGTGACCTGGGAACATGGCCTGTTAATCGGCAAACTTCAAGGGATTCACAGGGGAAGGCAGCAGAATGGGAATACCCAATTTCCAGGTCACCACAGGGTAGAGGACAGAAGCCCAGTTTCCATGTGACCACTGGGCATGATCACCTGGTGAACTCCGAGGTTTCTCTGCGTGTGAGGGGGAGGAGGGTTCAGGGTCCAGATGACCATAAGGGAACAGTCTTCTTCAGTCTCCAGGGAGATGCAGAGGGCCTGAGGCCACTCTCCAGATAATCCTGGGGGTCCAGCCTCCAGGAGACCGCGAAGGGGTGGGGGGTAGTTCTGTTTTCAAGTAACCTCGGGAGGCGTGGCCAATCTTCAGGAGACCTCAAGGTTTCTTGGCCTCCAGGGGTCTTCAGGGGACATAGCCCATCTCCTGGGGAAGTCGAGGGAGGAGGGAGATCCACTGTCCAGGAGAGGTGGGGGCTTGATCAGTCTCCCGGAACTGGCAGTCTATGAGGACCCCAGGAAGGGCAGCCAGGGGTCAAAGACCCCAGAAGACCTGGTCAGCCTGCAGGGTACCGCAGGAGGCGTGGCCAGTCTCCAGTCACGTGGTCTGTTTCCAAGAGACCGCAGAGCACTCGGCCAGCCGCCAAGCACCCAAACCAACTGCGCCCAGGGCCTAGACGCGCAGCGGGGTCCAAGCGGCCGGGTCGCGCGCGCCTCCGGCCCAGCCGCCGCCTCCGGCCCAGCCCCAGCCCCAGCCGCCGGGTGCGGGGTCCGGCGCGCCGGGTGCACGGTAGCAGTAGACGCCAAAGAGCCGGCGCGTGGCGTCGGGGAAGCCCAGGCTGCGAACGCCCGGCCGGCGGCCGCCGCAGCGCGCGCGCGGATTCACGATGGGATAGCGCGCGCTCCCGTCGGCCAGCCAGCCCGCGGTGCAGCGGTCCAGCAGCTGCAGCTTCCACGCAGCGAACAGCTGTCCCACCTTGGCCACGGCCGCGCCGCGCGCCGCGCACGCACGCGCTGCTCCCGAGAAGGGCACAGGCCGCAGCGGCTTCAGGAAGAACACACGTCCTGCAGTGGAGTGGGGGAGAGTGGTTAAGGCCACTCCCGGGATCTGGCCTCCTCCGGGTTCAGAACGCTTCCCATCCCCCCCCCACGTGCCTGCCACCCAGGACCCCAGCCACAGGATTGAGGAACACCCTTTCTCCTGCAGTCCTGGACCCCAGCCGTGTCCAGGGTAGTGTTGGTGCCAGGCGATGCGTGATTGCTGCGCCATGGCAGTCCGGGGGTGGGATATCCTGGTCTGGACCTCCGAGGACCAGAGTAGATAGACGGGCTAAGAGGAGGAAACTGAGAAGGTGGGAAAGAGACTGAGAGGGTGGGGGACTGGGGAGAGGGTTCTATGGGGGCGGGGCCTCACCGGCGGGGCGGACCCCAAGCCAGTGGAGGGCGGGGCCTCCTTCCTAGGGGCGGGGCCTACACACCCGGGAGGTTGGACGTGAAGCAGAAGGCGTCGTAGCGTTCTTCGGCATTGTGGCGGTAGCCATAGTTGCGCACCCCCCCGGAGGCGGTGGCGCCGCCGGTCCCGGCGCTCCCGGCTCCGCCCAGGCCGCCGCAGGGCTCTCGGGGCTGGCTCACCGGGTACTGCACGGACCCGTCGCGCAGCCAGCCTGCGTTGCACCAGTCCAGGCCGTCGCGCCAGGCCGCGTGCAGCTGCTCTGCCGACGCCAGGATGCCGTCCTGCTCAGCGCAGGCGCGCTGAGCTTCCGTGAAGGTCAGCTTGTAGCGGCCTCCACGGGGGTGGTAAGGGAAGACAACTCCTAGGAGGACGTACGTAGGGGGTTCAGCTGAGGAATCCCAGCCCACCCCTACCCACCTAACATTTGGGGTGCAGCGTGACTCTTCAACCTAGACTTCCCACTCCATCCCTCACTCTGGCCGTAGACCTGACCACGCTGTTTGCAACCTCACAACCCCTTGTGATTCCCTTTGCCTTAAGTCTGGGATTCATTTGACCCTCCCTCTTAAGATACTTAATCTTATCCATTCCCTTTCCACCACAGGAGATCTGTTTATGTACTTTCCATTTCTTCCATCTGCTGAACTCCTATTCATCCTTCAAAACCCAGCCCCCACAACCCTTCTCCCTTCAGTCTTCACTGCTTCTGACATTCCCCCAGCACTGGGAGCTTCACGCTGGTCAAGCCCTGAGCTGATGGAGCTGGGAATGTATGTGTCCAGTGCTGACTCCTCCACAGGGAGCCCCTGAAAGTATGACCTTGGGCAAAGACCTCTTTGATCCCCAGCATTGTCCAGGGCAGTTCCCACTGGTTTCTCTTCCACCTTCAGTTCTTATAACTTGCCCTCATTGGACCCACAGTCAACTCACTTCAACAGCATTGTGTGTGTGTGTGCTTGAGGGGCAGACCTTGGAGGGGCAGATGGATCTTTCAGCAGACAGAGGGAGGAGCAAACAGGGGCCAAGTGAACACCTGGAGCCTGAAGACGGAAGCTTGAGTCCTAACTACGTCGCTCACATGTACCTCAAGCAAGGTCTAACCTCTCTGAGCCTGTTGCTCATCTGCTGGTAATAGCACCTCCCTCAAAGTTTTTGGGAAAATTCAACAAGAGATTCGTTTACTTTGGACAATAAGGAAACCTGCTGCTATTATTGCTGTTATTTGCTATTGTTGGGAGGTACAGCAGGTGAGGGCTCTGAAATCTCTTCTAGAATCTTCTCATATGGACTGAGGAAGGCAAAAAACAAGTGGGAGAGAATTTTTCAGGTAGAAACCCCACCTCCCAGGTCCATAGTCAGCCAATCAGAGCATCCCATCTCCCAGTCACAGTAATTGGTTTATGGATGGGCACATGACTCAACCTGGGCCAATGAGGGACAACTCTGGGACTCCAGCTAGCACTGCGAGGAAATTTATTGCCAAGTTGGAGGATGGAAGCCTGGCACTACTTTTTGGATCCATCAGGGGAAACCTGCCTGAAGAAAGCCCACTTAGGGAAAGAGAACTGAGGGAGGAATTCCTGACATGGTATGAGTGGATGTCCCTGGATCTCAGCCCCAAGGGTTTCCCAAAGTCCTTACTATTGACATTTTAGACTGGTTCCTTCTTTGCTGTGGAGGGCTGTTCTGTGCATGGTAGGATATACTGCAGCCTCCCTGCCCTCTGCCCACTAGATGCCATCAGCAACCCATTTCTAGACATGGCCAGTGTCCTTGGAGAGCAAATTCACCTCAGATCAGAACCATTACCCTACCCTACCAAGCCTCAAATTCTTTCAGGCCAACTTGATTTGGTTTCTGTCCTTTGCAATATTTCCCCCTCTGCTCTCTTAAAAACATGCTTTATTCCGTCCACAAGCTGGTTACCTTCCAGGTCTAGCTTGACCATGCCAGTGTCATCCTCCAGCTCATTGGTGACCTCGCATTCATAGCGCCCATAATCCTGCAGCGTAACGTTTCGGAGAACCAGGGAGGCATCCCCAGGTCCGTCGCCCTGCAGCTCGGCACGCCCACGGTAGCTGCCAAATGCTCGGTGCTGGGGGCCCAGGGCCACGAAGACGTCAGCAAAGGCCAGTGGGTCCACCACCTTGGTCCACTTGAGACGGACGCCGTCGTGGTCGTGGGCAGCTGCCTCATAGTGGTAGCGGCAGGGCAGGACGATGGTGCCACCCCTGTGACTGACCACCTGCCCAGGCGCCGTCTGCACCACCACCGAGCCAGACTCACCCTCTGCGGGAGGGCCAAGCAGGGTTCAGAAGAGGTCCCAGGGGGCGGGGTGAGGAACCGGGGGAAGGGGATCCCATGAAAGTGTTGTGGGAAGAAGGCTTGGGCGCAAGTCAGGGGATCGTAAGGTTAAAGGAGATCAGGAAAGGGAACTGCGACTCAGAGGGGGAGGGGCGAGGGTGGGGGACTGTGACCGCTAGGAAGGCTCCAAGCCCTACCCCCTATATCCTCCCTGCATCCAGGCAATCACATTCGGCCACTGCTCCTGCGGGGCAAGACCGGCTTCCGCTATCCAGACTCACCCAGCACGTGCACGACCTTCTTGCGTCCGCGCTGCGCCCCTGCGGGGGCCGTGAGCAGCAGGACTCCCCAGGCCGCTGCCCAGAGCGCGCCGGGACCGAGGGCCGCCCGAGCACACACCTGGGGGCACAGGGCACTCAGTCCAGCCTCCTGGACTTTGCCTGTCGTAGGACTAGCCCCCTGACCTTCCTTCCTCACGGCCAGGACTTCTCGCATGCCCAGGTCCCCACCCAGGCCAGGGTCCCAGGGGACTCTCTCAAGGAGAAGGCTAGCAGACCCTCCCAGCCCTCACCCCTTGTCCCCCGCACTGTCCCCGGACTTCACACTCCAGCTCCTACGCAAAGCCCACGCCCCTGGGCTCACCTGCGCTCAGTCCAGCGCCAGCAACCCGCCAGATCCCGTAACCCCAACACCGGCCGCTCGGAGCTCCGCCCCCTTCTCAGGCCATCCCTGGCCGGGATCGCGAGGGAGGGGGAGGAGCTGGAGCCGCGGCAGCAGCAAGGTTATCCGTGCGCCAGGAGACTGCAGCAAACTGGCCGGCCGGGGTGTGCGGGCGGCGGGGGGAGGCTGTGGGACGCGAGGGTTAGGGCCACAGAGATGTAGAGACACGGGGAGAGGGCGAGGAAAGGGAAAGAGACAGAAAACCAGGGAGAGATGGGGGTGGAGAGGTAGAGACTCAGAGAAGGGTATGGAAAGATGGAGAGACAGACTGAAAGGGAGAGAGCAAAGAGAGCAAGAGGGGAAAAAAGAAAGAAGAGGGGGCTTGGAGGTAGGGAAAGACGGAGACTCAGAGGAAAAGAAAAGGGACCAGGAAGACAAAAAGAGGGAGAGAAAAGTAGGGAAAGGCAGAGAGGGATATAAAATGAGAGGCAGAGTTCGAGAAACAGAGATACAAGAGGGTGAGAGAAGGAAGGGATGGGAGAGACGGAGCGGAGAGAGACTGAGAAGAGGAACCCGGAGGGACGTAGATTAAGACAAGGAGCGAGACAGAATCCCAGAGAGGGACCTACACGGACCCGCGCCCGCGCCCTACTCACCATCTTGCCGGTGCGGCCCCTGCCGAGCGGCCCCTACGCGCCGGGACTGCGCTCCCCGCACACGCAGGAAGGACTGGGCCAGTTCCTTCGGGCGGCGCAATCCCGGCGTCTGCCTGCAAGGGGAGGAGGGAGGCGGATGGGGGTGCGGGGAGGAGCTTTAAAGGCGACGCGGCGACGCGCGCTCCGCGAAGAAACCCGGGCGCGGGCGGAGGAAGGACCGCACTGGACAGTGAATGCAGGACCACGTCGCTGATTCTGCTGGCTGATCTTGGGCGGGCAGAGGAACCTCGGGGCGTCAGTTTAACTCTCTTTAAGATGGAGGAGGGGGGCCCTGACGGTCTTCCATCTAGGATGCCCACGGTGAGCCAGAGGTCTGAGTAACCTGGGAAAGGGGCTTGGCTTGCACGTCACAGTTTTCCCATTTGTCACTTGATGGCCGTCGCCGTGTCCTGGGCTCTGATACCCAAAGGTGCTCACTCTGTGGGGTTGGGCCCCACAATTGTCACACACTCTGCAGAGGGAACCTGCAGCAACAAGTCCAAATCGGACTGTGCCTCTCACCTGCTGCAGGACCTTAGAAGAGAGGCTTGGTCTCTCTGAGCCTCAGTTTCCACCTCTGGGAAATGGTGTGCTGGTTCCTTGGTGAAGATCCAATGGTTAGACATACGATAGGGGCCTAATAAATGTCAGTAGGAGCGGGAGCAGGGGAGACTGATCAAGCCCTTGACCCACTCTGCCGCTGAGTCATGCCCAAACCTGGCCCTTCACTCAAGTTCAAAAATCCAATCAGGAAAAAAATGTGCCTTTCTCCCAACCCCTTGGCAGCTTCCTCAGCCTCAGTTTCCCCAAAATATGAGCCAACCATACAATAGAGGCAGGGTTATAGGGCCCATGGTTGGATAGGCTAGGCTGGCATGGGGTCCTTGAGTTCAGATGCATCTAGGAGCCATGACCTCCAACCAGGACCTTGACTGCCTACAGGCTCAGTCTCCCCATCTGGAATATAGGGTGAGATCCAGCATGTAGCACTTGAGTTTGGCCCTTGGTGATGGTATATGGTAAGTGCTTAATAACTGGGCCATATCATCATTTATTATAATTTATTGTCAGAGCTTGGATTTTGGATGTTTTTCTCCTGATCGTGACCTCAGACAGGTCTTTGGACCTCTCTGAGCCTCTGTTTTTCCCATCTGGAAGATGGAGCTATACACACCAACCAGAGGCAGACTTCTGCTAGCCAGTACCTCCAGCTCCGATGGTCATGCTGGCAGTGATGGTAGGCCCCCAGAGAAGCAATCCCTCACCTCTGAATCCTGAAACACTCAAGCAGCAGCAATACTGGGGCTTTAAAAGTTTTGTGGTTTTTTGTTTTTGTTTTTGTTTTTACTAAAAGGATCCATGTGAGTATGATAGGTAAACTCTGGCGTGGAGCAGTCTGTGTGGGATTGGAATACTGTGACAGCTGAGGGTCCCTGGGTGTCCCACCCCATGCGCTGGGCTTATACCACCACAGCCAGGACCAAAGACACCTGGAGATATACTTCCTGACTCTAAGAGACCGAGCCCACCCTTCCCGGGGCAGGGCTCTTTGGGCATGAAAACAGTCGTAGGGAGTCCCAGCTCTCTCAGTCCTCCTTCTTGTGGTGGGCCAGGGGACCAGGGGGCGGGTGCAGGAAGAAGGCAGGCCGCCACAGGCAGCGGAAGGCCAGCAGCTGGGGACCCAGCGCATACAGCAGGTTGCTCCCGAAGAAGCAGGCCCAGGCGTCATCAGGCACGCGGTAGGTGAAGGGCGTCCGCACGTGCATCGAGGCCCCCATGTGCGAGAACTGTGCCTAGTGGCCACACAAGGAGGTACAGGTCAGGGGTCAGGAAAGAACAAGGCCCAGCATCCCTAATATCCCACCCTAGGGAGCCCAGAGGGTCCCTGTCCCTCTCACTAGCTGCTGACCTGTCTCCCCTCTCTAGTCCATCTGTCTGCCTCTAAATAATGCTGTCGCCACATTTCTTGTGCCCTTGTCCATCTGTCCGTGAGCCTCTTCCCAGCTGTCTAACCGGAACTATCTTCACTCTTTCTGTGGGGCCACCCTGTTTCCCATCTCCTTGATGTGGGTCCAGCTTCTCCTCCTGTTCTTCCCTACCCTAGGTAGCCTCTTGTGCCTCTGACTCTCTCTCGGCGTTGTGGCTGTGCTAAACCACCACTCCCCTCTGTGTCTTTATGCTGTTCCCATTCCTGCAATGCTCTTCCTTGCCTAGAGAACTCATACCCATACATCAAAGCCCAGCTCCTAGGCTCACTCTTCTAGGCAATCTTCCCCTTCTGCAATTGCTCTCAGCCCCTAGTCTTGCCTCTCCCAAGTTCTGACCCCACGGGGTTGGGAGTGTTAGTGTTAGGTCCTTTCTCCCCAAGACCAGGGAATCCTAAGGTACGAAGCTGGGACTGGGGCCCCTTAGAGGCTCAGCAACCCCCCTGCCCAGGGAGAGCATAAAAGGAAACTGATGGGGAGGCAGAAACTTTCTTCCCTACAGACCCCACCCCTCTGCCCCCACACACCGCCATACCTGGCCAACAGCTCCAGCAAACACCAAGGCCCAGTCAGGCAGCCAAGAGCAGCCAGGGAAGATGAGGCCGTAGGCAGCCAGGCCATAGAAGGGCAGCACGTAAAACATGTACACCAGCATCTGAGGGGGACACAACCCATAGGATGAGCAGTAGCTGCCTCCCTGAGCCTCCTGAGGGGGAGGCCCCCAGGGAGAATCCGGCCAGCCTCAGACCCTGCCCAGGATTGGGGGGGGGGGCTCTCTGAACATCGCAACCCTGTGCACACTGCTCCTCAATTTCCCTCGACCCACCCCCACCCCTGGCCACATGCACACACACACACTGAGCCCACCCATGTTACTCCAGAAGTGGCATATGACCCAGGCCTGGCCAACTGGACCATTCCAGGCCCGCTGGCCATAATAATCAGCGACAGGATGCACCTGTTATTCAGTGATGATGGCACGAGGGCCAATCAGAGCCTGTCTGAGGTTTGTGCTTAAGCTCTGGAGAAATAATTGCTCACATTCCTCTGGGGTGGCTAAGTAGGGCAGATGGAGGGAGGCCTGCTGCTGCCCAAGGATTGTCTCTGCAATCCCACAAAGTGACTACCTGGGAGTGGAGTCCATGCAAAGAAAACAGAGCCCCAAGACAGAGTTATCCTTGGCACCTAGATCCAGCCATACTTGAAGACCATATCTGCCTTCATTGGAAGACAGACATTTTTGGGAGGACAACAGATTGACTTTTGTGTTTCTGGCACCTGCTTCCAAGAGGGCTTGCTAGGCCTCTACCCCTTGCAGAACCATATGGTCCTCTCTTCCCATCTGTCCTCTCACCTGCACCTTCGGATAGGCCACAGGGTCCCGTAGGTATGGCTCGTACTGATAGATGTAGACAAAGCACGCATCTGTGGGGCAGTCAAGCACCACCTGGGGCAGACAGACAAACCAACAACCCACCTCAAAATTTTTCCCACAAGAAGCCTTCTCCACCCTCCCAGGTGGGTCCCCTACCCCTTGCTCTGACCTCCCCTAGCCTTGGTTCTTTCACTTTCACTTTGGCTAGGAAGGTTATAGGGAATGGGGCTTTGTCATGGACAGACACGGATCAGACTGGATGAAGAACTTCCCGGATGATCAGACAGGCGAGCAGTGGCCTTTTCGCTTTGGTTAAAGGAAGATGATTGGTGGGGACAGGAAAGGGAGCTGCGGCAGAAGAAAAGTAGGCTGACCACTGCAGACTCACCAGGCCCCGAAAGAGGGTGAAGAACCCGGCGAGGGTGAGGTATATGACAAGGGCCAGGTCTACTGGACGTCGCAGGATACCCTTGCTTTGTTCCTCCTGTACCTGTCCCATGGGAGAGAGACAGCGTGAGAAGTCTGGTATCCAACAGGCACTTGATAAAGGCTCATCCCTTCTTTCCTAATGGCCAAGGAGATCCTTCCAAAGAGTTAATGTTTTGGACCAGAAGCAATTCTAATGGGGGTCGGGGGAGCATTCAGGCATGTTGGCACAACGAACTGTCTGGGGGCAAGGCACTTACCACATTGGGGGCATAGCAGATTGGTGCCCGGGCCTGGTTGAAGACCCTCACGCCAGCCCAGCATGGGACTAGCACATAGGGAATGGCAAGGAAGAAGGCAGGTCTGATCTCTGAGCTGTATTTACCTGTCATGGTAGGAGAGAGGGGGTGTCACTCAGGCCTGGCCAGACCCATAGGTGAGTCACACCAGAATCCCTGGTTGGAAGCAGTAATTCATAAATGCAGTCCTTTTTCAAGCTCCAACACCTCTGGCTCCCCAGTGCTCATCAGATGGTGTCCAGACCCCTCAGCCTGGACTGACTCAATTTATTTTCTGGATATGGCTTCTTTCTCTCAGCTGTTCTTTGCTTCTGAATACATCTTGTGTATCTCTCTAGCTCAGCCATCCCCACATACTGGGCTGCCTCTCCCCTCTACTTCCCAAGACCTACCTATGAACCTTCTAGGTGCAGGAAGGTAACCCAGCCTGAGGAGGCGGGATCCTTCAAAGCCAAGTCCTTACCAAGGATGTTTCCTGGGAGAAACACCAAGACGCTCATGACGAAAGATCCCAGCCAGTACAGTCCAAGGTTCCTGTATCTCTTCCTGCGGTGGAGTATGGAGGGGTGACCAACAGATGCCTGTTCCTATCTCAGAGCCCTAGCCAGGGCCCAGGATCCACCCTTGGCTCCCCAGCTCTGGGTACCTCCCATTTTTGTCCAGGACAGAAGGGACAACAGGGAGGTGAATGAGGGACTGAACAGATTGTCTGTCGAAGGACACAAATGGTTGTTTAGGCACAGGAGCGTACAAGAGAAGAGAGCTGACTACCACTTACACCTTGGCATTCTGGAACCTTCTCTGGGTTACTCGGGGCTGGAGCCCTAGAGAGGACTCATGATTTGCCCTACAGACACTGCTGACTGCACCCAAACTTGGGACCCCACCTGAGGACTTGATCTCCAGGGTCCAGGTGCCACACTCCCCCGCCAAACTCTAACCCTGCCCCATGCACCTTCTGCGGATGGCACCAGCCATGGCCAAGTAGAGGAGGTAGTGAACTGTGCCGTCCCAGTAGCAGATGAAGACTCCATGTGCGGTGCGCAAATAAGGCTCTCCCTGCCAGGGCAGATCAGGGCTCAGCTGGGCCGCAGGGCAGGAGGCAACCCGGGCGACCCCTACGTACCTCCTTAGTAAAGAATTCCATGAAGCCCCCCGCATAGCCCTCTTCCTGGAGAGCAATGAGGAGATCCACCACCGAGGTGAAGGAGAAGACAGCGAACACTGCGGGGAGAGTGGGCAGAGCCTGTCCCGGATGTGGGCGGGGCCTGAGGCCGCTAAGTCTGGGACTCAGAGTCGAGGCAAGGAACCACACCCAATTGCTCCCGGTTGCCTATTCACAGGTCACATGACCCACAGCCCTGTTGAGGAGGCACAGTCCTGCCTTTGGGAGGCCTCAGGCTGAGAAGGCACTGACCCTACCCTGAGGAAATCCCAAAGTGATGAGGAAGTATGGTCTTTCAGGGGCTCCCAGTCTGATGGGAAGAGACAGTCCTGCTCTCAGGAGCCCCAGTCTGAAGGGGAAGGCCCTCTGAGGTTCCCCAACCAATGTGGTTTCTCCAGTGTCTTTAAGGTTCTCCAGCCTGATGGGAGCCCTTCAAGGGGATGGTGGAGGACCCCGCTCACACAGTTCTCTCTGACTGACTCACCAGCATAGAGTGGGTCATAGTAGATCTCGCCGGGGGACAAACTGTAGATAGCCACAAAAAGCAGGCCCAGGATCAGGGCACTCATCAATGCCAGCCCCAGGGGGCTGTGGAGAGGGAAAACAAGTCAGAGGGGCCAGGCTCAATGCTGAGGCCCACCCACCCTGGTGAGGGTAAAAGCAGGTTCCAGGATGCTCCAGATGTCAAGACTGAGGTGTCTTTCCAACCAGGAATCTCATTCCCTGCAACTGCTCTTTTCCATCACTAGGCTGTTACCTGAGCTGTTTCTCCCTCCTGGGACCTCCTTCTAGAAGTCGCTTCCACTTGGCAAACTCCTACTCTTACTCTGTGGCCTATCTTTCATGGCTTCTCCTCCAGGAAGCCCTCCCTGACTCCTTAGAAGAATCATTGCCCTACTTGGGCCAAGTACAGAGAGGGCATCAGTCAACTCTTTCTGACTATACAACCCATCCCGTGTTCAACTCAATTTGCTCTCAGTCATTCAACACCACCAAGCCCCTCTGTAGCCAGACCCACCTCCCAAGCCTGCAAGGTCTCTAGTGCTCAGTCCCATACACTTCACTTTCTGAAGCTCCTGACTCCTCCCAGCTGAAGTTCAAATGCTTCTGTCAACCACACCCTACCCCTGCCCTGATCTGTCCCATCAACCAGATAAGACAGGTCAACCAGTTGCATAGATAAGAAATAGAAGTCAGGTTGGAAGCCTCCAACAACAGGTGGGCAGAGTGGGTGGGTGGGAAAGCCATCCAGGGTCCCACACTCCCCTACACGTTCTCCAGGCTCCTACCTTCTCATGGACCCCTCTGACACCTAAGATTCCCATCCTGGTCCCATCTGACCAACAATGACAATTATAGTAATCAGATAAGACCATACAAGTCTTTGCACACAATTTATAGTCCTTAACTCTACCTATGAGCCAAGGTCGAGGATTCTGTTCATTATACGTTGAAGAAAGGCTCCCAGAAGCAACGTGACTCACCCAGGATCCAGGGGAAATGGAGCCAGGAATTTGTACCCAAGGAGCCAACCCCACAGTCAAGACTCTCTCTACCCCATGTCTAGTGGAGCTAGGTCTGGGAGTATGAGGGGCCTATAGATGCCCAGTACCCAGTGGCAGGATCCACAGGACTGGGGTCTAGGGTTAGGAAGCAAGGGAGGTCACAGCATGTGGGCGAAACTGAGACTAAAGACAGGGTGGGCCAAACCTTAGCAGAATAAAGTCTCAGGCCTGAGACAGGCAATGGAGGGGCTATCTGCTAGGGGTGGTAGAACAGAACGCGAGTCCGAGTGTGCCTGTGTCAAGAGCTGGGTCATTAGGCCCTTATCTGGGACGATACTTTGACCTTTGGTAACTTTGGAGCTGGGCACATCCCTGGGAAACTCCAGAAACCCTCCAAAACTCTGTCCTGTGTGGGGTGGGAAGGGGCCCTCTCCTCAACCTTTCTCCTCAAATCCTAAACGTCCCCGGAGCGACCCCACCCCCACCACACAGCCCCCTGGCCGGCAGAGAGGGAACTTCAGGTTGCATGGGGCTGGGTAGTTTCGGCCTAGGTCCCTTCCTCCCAGCTGGAGCTGCGCAGGGGCTCCAGGCTCCGGGCTCCGGGCTCCGGGGAGCCAGGCTTGCCGCCCGCGCATGGTCCCTCCCAGCCACTGCCAACCCGGCCCCGCAGCCCGGCACCCCTCCCCGGGGCTGGCCTGGCCCCTCCCCTCACGCACTGCGAGAGCGCCGAGACGTGGTTAAGCGCGTAGGACAAGGGGAAGGCGCCGAGCGACAGAGCCGCGATCTTGCCGGCCAGCGGCGGGATGTCCATAGTGGCGGCAGCCGGACCCCGGCTCGGTCGCCGCGCGGCCTGCTCGACTCTTCTGCGGCCGCGCGTCTGGGTTCGGGGGTTGCCAGGGTCCCGGTCCGGCCCCGCCCCACCCCGCCCCGCCCTGCGCAAAGGTCGCCCCCAGCTGCGCCTTGGTCCCGCCGCCTAGTCTAGCCGTGACTGTGCCCCGCGCTCCCGGGAAGCCTCCGAGGCCCGTCCCCCTGGAAGCGGTCCCTTTCCCCAGCCCTCCCCTCCCCGCGTCACCGTCACCGGACTCAGCGCGGTTTCAGTGGCCTTCCCCGCGGCCCAGCCTCGGCTTCACTATTAAAGTCTAAAACTCCGTGTTGCCCGACGCTTCCGCTCTTGAGGCGCGGGACAACCTTGAGGCCCTGGGCCAGGTATTTCAAGCTAGGGGAATTTGTTCTCCAGGCCTCCTTCTGTACTTCTGCTTTCTCCGTACTAAGCCAGCTGTGTACCCACCTCGACTCTGAAGGGGACCCTTTTAAATGCCACATTCCCGAGACCTTCCTCCCCCTAGGATGAAGGGGACATTGGAGGCATTCTGCACGGATGGAGGAACCTCAGTCGCTTGGACACAAAGAGTTCCCTTCAGGTCCCTTGGATTTGAGTGTTCAGGCAGTGGCCACACACATTTAAACACGTGGCCGGGTGTAAAGCTTTGACTGGGTCTGGGGATCATGTCAAGGCAGGCAGCCAAGGTCATGGTTGGTGGTGGGGGGGGAGGTCTCTTGAAGGACTGTGTGCTGTGTTCCTTCCATATAGCCTGGGCACCTTGTGGGCCGCTGAAGCTGTGCCCCTGCTCAGTGGGTGGTGTCCAAGGGAGGGAGTCCAAAGGGTGGGCTTAGATTGGGCGTGGATTGCTAGTTTGGTGAGTTTGGAACTGTGTCTGGCAGGGAGACAAGTGAGCTCAGGCCTGAGGCTGAGGTGTGGTGAGGGGGCTCAGAGGGTCAGAGTGGGAGAGCCTCCCTGTAGGAGGCTGGGCTGGGTCCACCAGAAGACGCAAATGGTATTTGTGGTGGTGGTGGGGGGGTGGCACCAAGGAGGGAACTATAGTTGGGTGGGGAGAGAATAAGCAGCGGTTTCCAAGCAGCATTGGACTCTCACCCATGTGGTACTTGTAGCTGCTGGAAAACAGTAAGCAGGTACCCACTCAGTACCTGCCCTTGGGGGGCCCACAGTCTGTGGGTGGGGAAAGAGTCATCCTTTTTCCATGCATCTCCTTGTCCTTGTGCCAGCTGGGTCCTTTCTCTGAGCCTGGGCAACGAGATGATCTTCAGGCCACAGACCTGACAGTGTCCCACCCAGTTGTCCATTGCCCATGGGTTAAGTTCAGGTTCCTCTGGGCTGACCTGAGGCTCCAGTCTTGTTTCTTTGACTTTTCCCAACTCTAGCGGTGCCAACACCCCCCAGGCCTCTTTCCTGTCTGCAAAATGGATCCTCTAGTATTTCCTCACTCCTTAAAGCAGATCCCAATGTCCCCTCCTCCACGTAGCCCTCTCTGCCACCCCAGCCCCGCTCCTCCTGTTGCAAGGCCAGGGGTGTCTGATCCAGCTAACAACCTGGCCTTGCATCTGTGTCTGGGATGTGCCTGTACATGCACATCGAATTTGGGGGCCATTTTCCAACTCTCCACTTGCCTGGGGGTACAGTTCATGGGCTGAGTCTGGAGAGCCTCCAGGTCCCTAATTCAATTGAAGGGTGACCTTCACCTAGATGGCAAGGTGCCTGGGACCAAGGCCTAGGGTCCCCATCACTGGAACCTCTGGCTGCCCAGAGCTACTCTTGTGCTCAAGCCCTGGGACCACAGGACAGCTGGCACACATGGGAACGTCAACCCTTGCCTTGCTCTGGGCACAACATCTACGGAGGGAACATAGAGTGGCATATGTCGTCCCAGCCTGGGCTCTGCTGCTGAGACTCGCAGTCCTTGGATGCCCCCGTTCCCCACACTGAGACACTCCCCAGGCTGCCGCCAAGACAGCAACCCAATTCCTCTTCACATTTATCAGTCTCAGGTTCACCACCACGGACACGATACGACAGACTGACTGCCCCGGGGCATAGAGCCTATCCATCCGGTTCACACAGTTGGTGCTGCTTACTAAATGACTGTGAGAACGCAGACTGGGCCAGAAGCCCAACTCCAGCTGGAGTCTTCAAGCCCATGAGCCCACAGGGGTTGAGCAGGACCTACAAGGCACATGTGTGGGCAGATGGGTGGGTTGTGGGGATCCCTCAGGTCTCCAAGCCATACTTAAAGGGTGGCTCTCAGATTCCTAGGACCCCACCCAAGCTGCTCACTCAGCAGCTACAACTGACCCCAGGTGGTCTCGGCACAGATGTTCAGCTCAGGCTCTGGCGATGTGGGGAGTACTTGGTACACTGCATCTGTCCACAGAGTTGTCCCCCAAAGGCATGAGCCCCAGGGACTCCCGTGTCCACCCACTGAAAGGATCCAGGGCAGCTGGGGTGGCTTGGGCTACAGCTGTCGAAGACTAGTTTCAGGGAGGGGCTGTCAGCGCCACCTGCTGGTGAGGTGGTTGGTATAGGTGTGTCCTGGGTCCAGCGGACCGGTAGATCTGAGGAGGCCTGGGCCCTGTCTGGGCCCCGAAGCACAGTGCCACACTGGGAGGTCCCTGGTGCCCCTGGTCCAGGTGCATCCAGGGCTTGGCTGGTCAGCCACCAGTCCCTCTCAGAGGATCTGTGGATCCTCCCCTCAACTCTAACACAGGCTGTGGGTGCCTGAGGGGCCCACAGACACAGGTCTAGGTGGTTCTCATATTTTTCAGGCACTATGGAGCTTTCCCAGCGGCATCCCAGCCCCATCTGCCCAGCCCAGCCCCGCTGCTAAGGAAACAGAGGGGCTTCTGGTGATGGCAAAACCAGGCTTCCATGGTAGGCAAGCACTGGAACTTTAATACACGGCACGACACTTGAGACAATGGGAGGGGCAGGCAGAAATGCAGGCCAGAACATTCCACAGTCCAGGGATGGTCAGTCGTTTGGAAAATACATTTGTGTTTTTCCAGAATACTCAGTAGTAAGGCCGTCTGGGGTTGTTCTGTGGGAGGCAAAAAAGATAAAAAGGAGAGGGGGTCAATGCTAAAGACAGCAGTTTCTCCTGCCCAGAACGTTCCAGGGACAGCTGAGCCCACATCCTCCAGAGCAGAGGGCAGGTGGAAAGGTGGGGGAGTCGCTAGTGAGACCTGGCCTAGTTGGGACTGTGAAAGGAGAGACAGCTCTGTCACCAGCACTGCCGCCCCCTGCTGAGATTCTGGGCAGCCCAGCCAGGAGTCACACGGGGGCTGGGGACACACGCACCAGGGGGTTGGGTCGGAAGCGGTAGGCCAGCATCATCCTCTTTCGGAAAGCCTCATATTCATCATCCTCCTTGGAGAGCTCAGCTGGCCGGTCGATGCCAAAGCCTGCTCCATCTACTGTGGTGGTGCCTCTGCAGGGGGGCAGGGGGACGACAGGGCCAAGTGAGCAGGCGGCCAGGCTGCTGGCAGCACGAGAAGCGGCAGGGGGTACACTCACTTGTTCACCGGGTTCTTGATGCCCTGGCCCTCTGAGCCCAGCCCATCGCCCTCCTTCCAGCCCATTTTCATCAGCATCTGGTAACCAATGTTCTCCACTGTCAGCTTGAACTCCTTGTATTCTGAGTAGTCAGGCTCTCGGCCTTCCTGCAGGGCAAGGAGGAACCTGTCATCCACCAGGGTCACAACTGTCCCAGGTCCCAGCCCTGGCCAGACCACCACCACGTCCCACCAGCAATGGCCTCACTGGCTGCTGGGACCTCCTGCTCTTCTGAAGCCTTTGTACCAGGTCAGATTCCTTGAGAACAGACCAAAATGCTCCTTCTCAGGGTCCCCAGGGCCAGACTTTGTACCAAGCTGCCTGGTGGCCAAGTCAACAAGGGCAAGGAGACGGGTCACACAGGCCTCACCCACCACGGGAAAGATTAATGGTTCATCAGCAAAGAATTCTGAGGGCAATTCTTTACACAGAATGCTAAAAAGATGAGGTCAATTAAGTTGTTGACGAGGTTATGCGGCACAAAACGGTTTTACAAAAATCCCCCAAAAGATGACAGGCGGACTCTCCTCAGAAGCACAATAAAAGGATGGGAGGAATGTGAATTCCTCTTCTGGAGAACCCAGTCCATAGGGCCTTCTGCCTGAGAAACGCTTTGCCTGTAAACTGCACTTAATTGGCTCCACTGAAAGCAGATTTTCCCGGAAGCCCTGGGAGATATTTCTAAAGCAGCAGCTGAGCTGCTTTCTGCTAATTCTCTCCACAGACGGTGTCTATCATCAACAGATGCCTCCTGAGGCAAGAGGGCCCAGCTCCCCCTGTGAATGAGGGGGGTCCTTGCGGCTGCCTCAGACGCCTGCCTCGTGAAGCTAACAGGAGGGGCTGGGCCACTAGCCTGGCTGCCTGCCAGCCAGCCCATAGCCCCTGCTGGTGCCCGGGGATCCTCCCAGCTCACCTTCAGGGCCTTGAAGGTTTCCATGAACTTCTCCAGCTCATCTGGTGGCAGGAAGTCTCCGATAAAGTGCTTGCCGCGGCCCATCTTTGTCAGCTGCTCGGCCCACTCTGCCCAGACAAACGGGGAAAGTGAGAGAAAGGAAGAGGCGGGGAGCGGGCTGGGTGGCCCCACAGCACCGATGTGAGTCTTGGGCGGGGGGGCAGGGACTCAGGTCCCAGAGGAATGAGGTGGCTGGTTGAGGCCCCGACCCAAACCCTGCTCCTCCAGGGAGCCCTTCTAAGTGCCATGTTCAAACAGCACTGACGGCGTAGAGAATCCCTTTTCTCCACTGAGCAGAGGCAGAGAAGCTGAGTCTTTTGCTCCAGAGCGTACAAGTTGCAAAGGCGGCTTAAGGCCCCAGGTGGTGCCTCCAGGTGCCTTCCCTGGCGGGCTTCCTGAGCCTGCGGTGCCGAGGGCACGGCCTCACCCGGAGACCCCGGCCCTCACCCCACCCGCAATGTGCTCCCTGGCGCACCTCGAGTCTTGTCC